TATAATTTATTGTAATGATATAAAAAACAAATCAAATTCCCATGTTTAACAAGGTTTTTCTAAAATATCAGTCTCTTCTTGGTAACATTTACAAAGAACTGACAACATATAGCTATAAGATGTCTAGTGTTCAAGATTTAAAAACAGTAACTAGCGGGGCTGGAGAGATGGCTCAGCGGTTAAGAACACTGGTTGTTTTTGCAGAAGACCCGGGTTTGACTCCCAGCCCCTACATGGCAGCTAACAACTGTCTGTAACTCCAGTCCCAGGGGATCCGACAGCTTCTTCTGTCCTCTGCCAGCATTGTATGACACGGGCTCACTTACCTACATGCAGGCAATACATGCATACACATAAAATTTTAAAAATTAAAAATTAAAAAAACAACAGAAAAAACAGTAACTAGAGCTGGGATATAGGTCGATGGAATATTAACCTTACAAGCACGAGCCCTTGGGTTCAGTCTTTAGCAACACACACACACACACACACACACACACACACACACAATAATAACTTACTTCATCAGTCTGCATCCTCTTAAAAAATTATTTTGTTTTATTTTATGTGTATTAGTGTTTAGCTTGCATGTATATATGTGTAGCGTGTGTGCCTGGTGCCCAGGGAGGCTAGAAGAAAGCATTGAATCCCCTGGAATTGTAACTTACCATGTGGGTCCTGGGAACTGAACCAGGTTCTCTACAAGAGCAAGCAGTAAGTGCTCTTAACCACTGAGCCATCTCTCCAGCTCCTGGTCTTCTTCCTTTTTAAAGACTGTGTTTTGAGGCTGGAGAGATGGCTCAATAGTTAAGAATACTTACTGCTTGCTCTTCCAGAGGACCCAAGTTCCAGAGGACCCAAGCTCATAAGAGATCTGATACCCTCTTCCCTCCAAGGGCCTGCAAACACACAGCATATATTCCCATAGACAGATACACATACAGATAAATAATAATAAAAGTAAATCTTGGGTCTGGAAATATGGCTTAACAGTTCAAAGTGCTTACTGCTTTTCCACAGGATGTGAGTTCAATTCGCAGCACCCACATTTGGCAGCTCAAAACTGCCTATAACTGTACCTCCAGGGGTTCCAACACTCTCTTCTGGCTTCTGTGGGCACTTGTACACAAGTGGCAGTCTCTCACACAGACGCACACATGTAATTTAATTAAAAATAATTTTAAATACTGGGCATGGTGGTGCATACCTTTAATACCTTGGGAAGCAAAGGCAGGTAGATCTCTGTGAGATATAGGTCAGCCTGGTGCACATAGTGACTTCCGGGTGGGCTAGAACTAGGAAGACCCCGTCAAAAAGAAATTCTTGGTTTTTTGGTTTTTGTTTTTGTTTGTTTTGTTTTGGTGTTTCTGAGACAGTGTCCCTGTAGCCACAGCTGGCCTGGAACTCGCTGGCTTTGAACTCACAGAGATCTGCCTGCCCTTGCCTCCTGAGCGTTGGGATTAAAGGCATGCAGCACCATGCCTGGCAGTTTTTAAAATATATTTAATGATGACTTATTCAAGTTCATTTACTTATTATTTTTATTCTTTATGCATATGTGTGTATCACCTGCATGTAGGTAAGTGCATTTATGTAGTGCAATGCCCGCGGAGGACAAAAGAGACTGTGGGATCCCCTGGAACTGTAGTTACAGACAGTTGTTAGCTGCCATGTGGGTGCTGGGATTCCAACCCAGGTCTTCTGCAAGAACAACCAGTGTTCTTAACTGCTGAGCCATCTCTTACTTTTTAAAATTTTATGTTTATGATTACTTGTGTGCTTGTATGTAAGTGCACCTCTGTCATTCAGTTCCCAAAGATGTCAGAAGAGGGCATCAGATCCCCTAAAACTGGAGTTATAGATGGTTGTTAGCCGCAATGTGGATATTGAGAACCAAACTCTGATCCTCTGCAAGAGCAACCAGTGTTCTTAACCACTGAGCTATCTCTCTAGCCTCAAAAATTGTTTTTAAAGACTATCTTGACCAAAAGACACAGAGTGATATTCTATTCTTTGTTTTTTCTTCTTTTTACTCTTTAGTTACAGAAGAATTGCCTACTCTCACTTTGCAGTGACCGGATCCTTCAAGATGTTCCTTTTAACAGGCAAGTGTTAGCTTGACAACCTGTGTTCTGTTCCCACGTGTTAGAAGGAGAGAAATGACTCTGCAAGTTGTCCTCTAAACCTTTGTGTGCATGCCATGCAAGTACAAACACACACACACACACACACACACACACACACACACACAAGTAAATGTAATTTCAAAAATAAAAAGAATATGCTTAAAGTGTGATATAGAAATACTAAACCATTATCATTTTAGAAGATAAATGCCAGTTTTGACTGTTTTCTAAATTATCATGTGCGTGTGCGTGTGTGTGTGTACATGCATGTGTGCGCATGTGCACAGGAGTGTATGTGGTAGGGTATGAAATCCAGAGGTTGACATTGGATGTCTGCCTCATTCTCTCTGCACCTTATTTTTTTTTGAGACAGGGTCTCTCATTGAACCTGGAGTTCACCGATTGGGCTAGACTGGCTGGCCATCAAGTCCCAGAGATCCTCCTGTCTCCGCCTCCCCAGCGTTAGGATTACAGGTATGCGCTGCCATGCTGGGCTCTTTTACATGGGTGGAGGCAGGAAGATCAGGAGTTCAAGGTCATCCTTGTCTACATAGAGAGTTTGAGGCCAGCCTGGGCTACATGAGACCCTGTCTCAAAAAAAAAAAAAAACAGCAAAAACCAAAACATAAATAAGGGCCAGCAGAATGGCTCAGTAGGTAAGAGGACTTGCCATGTAAGCCTGACCACTTGACTTCAATCTCCAGAACTCACAGTGGAAGGACAGAACTGACTCCTGAAAGTTGTCCTCCAACTTCTTCACATATGCCATAGCATGCACACACCCATTCTCCCCCCCTCCACACACACAGATAATAAGTTTTAAAAAATTAACCAAACAATAAAAATAACTAAAATAAGACAAAGGGGTAGGGATATAGCTCTGTAGTAGAGTACTTGCCTAGCACAAGGCCTTGGGTCCAATCCCCAGTATAGGGAAAAAAACAAAGAGGTATCATTTCCAAAACACTGCAGGTAATTGTTACTATCTATTAAGAGAAATATTTCCTTTCCTTCCCATGCACTTAAATTTTAGCATTAACTCTGACCTGGATCTCTGAAATTGTGCCTGGGCCTCTAGGATTAACTAAGGAAATCCTCTGTGTTTTCAGATTTGAAGCAGCTAAGCTTGTCATGCAGTGGCTTTGCAACCATGAAGATCAAAACATGCAAAGGATGGCAGTAGCTATCATTTCCATCCTGGCTGCCAAGGTACCTGAACTCTTGCTGAATCTCTTCTATAGGCAGTTGTTTCTCATTATAATTACTAATCTCCCTACTCACCAGTATGTGTGCCAGAAAGGTTAGTAAACTCTTTGCCAGCTTGCTTACATAAGATGCATTAACTATTACAGAATTCGAGGTTGATCAGATAGTCTGGCCTTGGAGGCAGTTATAATGGCTCATAGCAAACTCACATTGGTTAATTCTTGGACATTTACTCTCTCTTATATTTGCTTCCAGCTTTCTACAGAACAAACAGCACAGCTTGGTGCTGAGCTCTTCATTGTCAGGGTAAGTTCCTTCTTCCTCTGTCCAGGCCATTAGATAATTTTCTTTTTTATTTTTTATTGCTACCAAGCAGTGCTGTGTATCTTTTGTGATCTTAATATGTGTGTATGTAGGGGGTGAGGTTTTGGGGATCTAACAAGGGCTCCACATATGCTAAGTCAGCTTTCTGCTATGGACTTGGTGCTGAGCTCTTCATTGTCAGGGTAAGTTCCTTCTTCCTCTGTCCAGGCCATTAGATAATTTTCTTTTTTATTTTTTATTGCTACCAAGCAGTGCTGTGTATCTTTTGTGATCTTAATATGTGTGTATGTAGGGGGTGAGGTTTTGGGGATCTAACAAGGGCTCCACATATGCTAAGTCAGCTTTCTGCTATGGAACCCCTCTACCACTGCAGGCCTCTGCCTCTTTTTTTTTTTTTTTTAATGATCTTATGCCAGGAATGGTACTGCATGCCTTTAATCCCTTTAATCCCAGCACTCGGGAGGCTGAGACAGGTGGATATCTGTGAGTGTGAGGTCAGCCTGGTCTACATAGTAAGACCATGCCTCAAAATAATTTAAAAAAATTTTTCTAAATAAATGTATTCATTTTTCTTCTTATTTACAGAGCTGAGGATTGAACCCAGTACCTTGCACATGTCAGGTAGATAGTCTACCACTGAGCTATATCCTTAGCCTAAATTATTCTACATAGAAGCAGGTTTAGTTCTTGACAGATGCAAACATCTGTGAACTAAGTCAGTCCTGGAGAGATGGCACAGTGATTAAGAGTATTTGCTGTTGTAGCAGAGGACCCAGCACCCACATCAGGTGGCCCATAGCTAGATGCCTGCAACTCCAGTTACAGGGAATCCAACACCCTTATCTGGGACTTACACAATATATATAGGTATATCTAACACCTCCACAGTCATCTGCAGGCACACAGTACACATAGATACTCTCAGGCATATACACACATACACATAAAATAAATTTTTTTTTAATTGTCTTTTTTTTAAACAGCGTTTCCCTGTAGCCCCAGCTGGCCTGGAACTCACTGTGTAGACCAGGTTGACCTTGAACTCACAGGGATTCACCTACCTCTGCCTCCTGAATGCTGGGATTTTGAAGGTGTGTACCACCATGCCTGGCATAAATAATCTTTTTTTTTTTTTTAATATAGTGTTGTACCTGCTTATATGTAAGTATACCCATGGCGTGCAGTGCTTGTAGAGGCCAGAAAAGGACTTCAGATCCCCTGGAACTGGAGTTACAGATGGTTGTTAGCTGCCATGTAGGTGCTGGGATTTGAGCTTAGGTCCTCTGCAAGAGCAGCCAGTGCTCTTAACTGCTAGTGGAGCCATCTCCAGCCCTCCAAGGAGTCTTTTTGAGCTCTTAGTTATTTCTCACAATATATAAACGAGGCTACAAATAAATTAGTAATTGAGGCTATGCTAGTAGTCCAAAGCAGGTGACTTCTTAGTCAATAATGCTATTTAGTTAAATAATTATTACACCTAGATGTTTGTGTTTCTTAATTTTCCTGAATTGTGTTCATTAATCTTTTCTTGAATAACAACACAGAGCTCCCCTTTACCTCTAAAAATGTAATCCAAAAGTAAAATTATAGACGCCTTATGTAGTTCTTACTATTCTCCTTTCAAATTCATTTATTTATTTATCTTTTTGAGACAGGGTTTCCCTGTAGCCCCAACTGGCCTTAAACTCGCTATGTAGACCAGGCTGGCCTCAATCTCTCTGATGTACCTTTCAAATTTAAATTTCTTAGAATAAAGTTATGATAGACATAGAGATTTCAAACTCTTATCATGTTTGTATCCAACATAGACTTTAGTATTCTCTCATCCTGTGTGGGGTTTGCCTTCTTTTCTTTTTTCCTTCTTTTTCTCAGTTTTATACATATCACTAGCAAGAATTCACTGTGTAGCTCAGGATGAGCTTGAACTTGTGACAGTTTGCTTGCCATAGTCTCCTAGCTTCTGGTATTATAGATGTGAGCTACCATGCCTGGCATTTTCTTTTTTTTTCTTAAGGAAAACTTAAAATTTGTTAGAATTAGGCCTTTTAGTTCTTTTTATCACTGATTATTATCAAACTATTATTTCTTAGATTCAGTTTATTTCTCTATAAAATGGGGGTGATACTACCACAAAATAAGGTATTGTTTACTAGCATTTAGTAAATACCAACTTTGTCTTCATTTACTCCTTTGTTCCCTTTTTTGTATGTATTTATTTATTTTTAAATTGTATTTTATGTGTGAGTGTTTGACCTGCATGAATATAAGTGCACCCCTGTTGTACAGTGATCTCAGAGGCCAGAAGAGGACCTCAGATCCTCTGGAACTGGAGTTAAGGATCGTTATTAGCTGCCATGTGGGTGCTGGGAACCAAACCCACCTTCTCTGCAAGAACAGCCAGTGCTCTTAACCGCTGAATGTCTCCAGTCCTTCTAGTCCTTTTTTCAAATCCTAGGTTCTGTAATAATGGGTTGTCATAACTAATTAAGATAGTTGGTTCAGGGCTGGCAAAATGTCTCAGTGGGTAAAGTCACCTGCCACCAGACCTGATGACCTAAATTCAATCCCCACAATCCACATGGTGGAAAGAAAAATGAACTCCTGTAAGTTGTCCTCTGATCTCCATGCATGGTATTCTATGACCTCCACATGTGCTAAGTGATATGCACATGTACATCCACCCACAAAATGAAAATAATTTTTTAAAAAAGCTACCATGGTGGCACATACCTTTAATCCCAGCACTCAGGAGGCAGAAGCAGGCAAATCTATGTGCCAGCTTAGTCTACTACATAGTGAGTTCCACTCCAACCAAGGTTGCATGGTGAGACCCTGTTTGAAAAACAAAAAACTAAGCTGGGTGTGGTGGCACATGCCTTTAATTCCAGCATTTGGGAGGCAGATGTCTTTGAGTTTGAGGCCAGCTGGGGCTACAGGGGGACCCTGACTCCAAAAAACAAAACAAAAATAAAATAAAATAATAAACAAATAAATAAATAAAACAAAACAGGGCTAGTAAGAGATTGCCGAGCCTGACAACCTGAGTTTGATCCCTAGGACCTACATGATGAAAAGACCAGCTCCTGCAAGTTGTCCTTGGACATCTACATACATGCTGTAGCATGCACATGTCTGCCATATACACACTAAATAATAAATAAATTCAGTAAGTAAGTAAATGTAACTTTAAAATAAAAAAAAAACAACAAAGAACCTTTTCAGAAAATACTTTAAGCTCTAAAATTAGTCCTTATGGACTTGTGGTTATTGGTAATCTCAAATTATGACAATTGAATGACTAAAACTTCTGTTTTCTTCCTTTTAGCAACTTCTTCAAATAGTGAAGCAGAAAACCAATCAAAATTCAGTGGACACTACATTGAAGTTTACTTTGAGTGCACTTTGGAACCTCACAGATGAATCCCCAACGACTTGCAGACACTTCATTGAAAACCAAGGCTTAGAACTCTTCATGAGGGTTCTAGAGGTTCGAATGGAAATTTAATCTACAGTTTTGACATTTGTTGGTTTATTTAAGTATTTATGAGATTTGTTTCTTTAGATAGTTACAGGTTTCTCTTTCTTTTTTACAGTCTTTCCCAACTGAGTCATCCATTCAACAAAAAGTTCTAGGACTTTTGGTAAGATATAAACATTTCCTGCTAAATTCTAAACTGTAATTAATTTTGTGTCTGAGGGCATGCACCAAAAGTTGCTGCTTGTGGGGCTGGAGAGATGGTGCTTGGAGCCAGGTGTCCTGATGCACGCCTCTAGTCCCAGCACTTGAGAGGCTGAGGCAGGCAGGTCTCTGTGAGATCAAGGCTAGCCTGGTCCACATAGCAAGTTCCAGGATAGCTAGGGCTACAGGGAAACCCTGCCTCAATAAGACCAAAAAAAAAAATCAAAATAAAAATCCTTTTTTTAAAAATGTTGCTGCTTGGGCTGGCGAGCAAGTTAGCAGTTAAGGGTGCCTGCTGCCAGGCCTGATGACGTGTTTGATCCCTGGAATACATACACACATGCATGCACGCATATGTAATTTAAAAGAAAGTAAGTAAAGCCGGGCGTGGTGGCGCATACCTTTAATCCCAGCAAATGTTGCTGCTTGGGCTGGCGAGCAAGTTAGCAGTTAAGGGTGCCTGCTGCCAGGCCTGATGACGTGTTTGATCCCTGGAATACATACACACATGCATGCACGCATATGTAATTTAAAAGAAAGTAAGTAAAGCCGGGCGTGGTGGCGCATACCTTTAATCCCAGCACCCACAAAAAAAAAAAAAAAGGAAAAAAAAAAAAAAAAAAAAAAAAGAAAATTACACGGGGCGGGGGGGATGGCGCAGTGGTTAA